AATAGGTTACCACGAGTCAGGATCAGTAAGCAGTAAGGACACTTTCATTGGTCTACAGAAACACCTCTCCTCAGCCAGCAACCAAGTTTCTTTCTGGTCCTCAGCTTCTCAGCCATTTGGTCTCTTGGCTTCTCCCTTGGTTGGGTCAGGAAGCCAGCTGGCTGGTCATTCTGCCTCCCAGTCCCATCATCTCAGCCAGAGGAGGGGAAGGCCAGTCTTGGCGCTGCTCCTCTGACTCTCTGTTGTTCTGGTTTCTGATGTATCTGGTCTCAGTGGTCTTCACCTCTGAAGATAGGGGCTCTTGGACATTCTGGGATTCCTCTCTGTGTGAGGCGGCTATTAGATTCTGAGGAATGGATTCGACGGAGGTGTGATTTTTGGTCTTTTAGCTGTCCGCATGCTCAAACCAAGGAGGGTGTCTTAGTCACACCCTCTAACAAATTAGTCTTAGAGATGACCCCCAAGTAAGCAAAGGGCATGACTTAGTTCACACCTGCTACAAGGGTCACTTGAGGGCAGTGAGTTTGGTTTGGAATCTTATAACAGGAAACTTCCTCCAAGATGGGATTAGAGCTATAGGCACAGAGCCCAGAATTAGACTGCGTCTTGTAAGGAATTGTGCCTAAAAGGACCAGATTAATTGGCTACATCTCATCAATACTTGGAAATTAAAGGGTTTCTCTCAAAAAACCCCAAAAACAAAACACACAAAAAATCAACACATTGCCATTGAGTTGATTCTAACTCATAGCAACCCGATCATGGGCATCTTTAGAAATCATACTAATATTAAAACAAACATTTCATTTAGATTTCCACATCCTTATTGACCCCCACCTCACACGCCATGAATACAAACCTAAAATGGAAATTTAAGAGATATCCAGAATGAAGGGTTAGCTTCCCTGTGTGTGGGGAGATAGATCAAAGAAACTCTTACTATACCTAAGAGTGCCGGGCACTCCTCAGAGTTCGTATAGATTTAAAATTTTTTTCTAACTACCTTTCAAGAAAAGTAGACTTTTTTTTTTTTGAAAAGAAGACTTTTAGAAGTGCTGTGAGTTTCCATGTTAGCTTTGTATTCATGGAGTATGAGGTGGGGGTGAATAAAAATGAAGAAATTTAAATAAAATGTAAAAATATTTAAGTTTAAATAAAATATTTGTTTTCATATTAGCATGATTTCTAAAACTGCCCATGATGTAGTTAAAAAAATACCTAAGGATGGGTATAAAGAGAAGAAAGTCTAAAAATGTTTTTTTAATATCTGAGTTATACCATATTTATGACAGATTTACCCACAAAATTTTCATAAATTTTACTATTAATATTAAAAGCAAACATTTAGTAGACATCAGTATGGAATCACTCCCATGACCAGGCTTCCTCCAGGGCTATCCTGGGATCATGCTCACTAAGTTCAGATTTTAATCATTTTATTTTAAAACATACTTGATACTTTAAAACAATTAAACTGCTTTATTAGAAAAGATACATTTTATAAGCCACTGGTCTATATATTTTAACTATTATATTGTTGATCCCCTCTCAATCCCTGAAATCACTCAAGGAGGCAGGTAATTGCCCACTCTTTGCTTCTCCATTCTAATTAATATTTCAAATGACTTCCAGTAAAGGATGTCAGGGTCAAGAGTCACTTGCATGAAGTTTATAACCCACGTTTCTCTGAAACTATGTTTGTAATCTAGTGTTCCCTCGAAACCCCATTTGTTATCGCTTTTGCTTTGCAGACCCAAATGACTTCCCCAACAACAATCTTGGGCCTTATGCACCCCATTCTACATGGACATGCTGTATCTCTTACAATTGATCATTTAAAGTAGCAGTGAATGTTCACGAATGATGTGCCCAGTTGGATTTTCTTAAACCTTAGTTCTTCCGTGACACAACTATTTTTCTAGAAACAGCAATACAATTTCTCTCTTCAAGGAAAAACGTACACTGAGGAAAAGAATTGTGAAATAGTGTAGTGTTGTTAGGTAGAAGTACCGATGGTATTGATAACTTGATGAATTCTTGTTTCAGATTTGTTCTTGCCCCAAGGCTTCAGTCGGACTGGATGTTGATGTTGTATTTTGCACATACCCATTTGACTGTGACCGTCACCATCGGGCTGCTTTTGATTCCAAAGGTAACCTCGCACACTGCCTTCCTCGGGGGAGGCAGTGTTTCTTAGTTGAGTAGAAGTCTGTCCTCTAAGAAACATTCGGCAGCAGAGACAAAGGAGGCAGTGGAAATTTGCTTGGGGCTCTAGGATGTTTGTAAAACTTTCTCAGGAATTTGGATATTTTCTTTGTCTTTTACTAAATGTATTACTTACCAAATGCTTAGTTTACACAAATTTCATCAATGATTTGTTTTCCGTCCTTTTCCAACTATTTTAATGTGATGTTAGATATGAATATCAACATATAACATCACGACCATTAGAAAAAAAAAGAATTATCCTGTTCTAAAAATTATTTTGTTTGAATTCTCATTCAGAAATGTCTTGTGTTTTTAAATATTCAGAGAAGAATTTTTTGTTTTTAATTTTTTATTGTACATTTTGTTTCCACTTATTTTTTGCATTTTTCTCAACATACCATCACCTATCTCGATTTCCCCGTTTCCTGTGTACATTCCTCCTCGTTTCCTAACCATCTGAACAGTTTTACAACATGACAGTTTTCCCTTTTTATCTTAAACGATGTTGTATCTGATTTTTGTGGCACAGGAATCACAGTCCGTGATTGTCTCGGGAATCCCGCGTGTCTTTATCTGACCAATAAGCGTGGTTTCTTTTATGGCTCTGAGTTTTGTTTTGTTTTCCCATGTTTTTATCCCACTCTCTCCAGGATCTTGGAATGTGCGCCTTTTCAGAGCAGTTGGTTGCGGTGGCGGCAGCTGGTTGCCCTCTAGTTCTGGTCTCAGGGTTGTACAGACTAATGTCTACATGGCCTATTGTTCCATCGAACGGATTGTTCCCCTTGGGCTTTCCTCACTCTTCTCCTCAGAGAGGTCAATGGAAATCATGTTCATGCACAGAGCAGTAATTACATACTGGTTAGAGAGTGATCTCACTTAATAATGAGAGATTTTGTCAAAGACGTATCTAGGCAGTGTTAGACTCAAATAACAGACGCGAAATGAGCGGGTGTTCAGAATATGGAGATACCACCTCCTGCTCCACCGTAAACTAGTCGTGTAAGGCTGCATTCACCAGCGCTGCTTAACCTCTCTAAACTTTAGTTTCCTCATCTGTGATACGGCAGCAATAATCTAGCAATAGATATAACACGTATTGACTTACATATATGTCATATAAATCGTGTAGGAGTTACACTATAGTTACATCTATAGATAGGTAGTAAAGGTTTCTTGGAGTGAAATAAAATGATACAAGGTATCAAAAATGAAAATGCATTACAGAAATTACAGCAGCATCATGGCATTTTTCCTAGCAGAGAAACAAAATGTTAGAGCATTATGTATCCTTATTAGTACTACACAATAAACTTCCCCGTGGTAATGCTGAAACCAGAGTTTTCACTGTACCATCTTTCATTCCAACCTTTACCTTAAGCATCAATACTAGCCCAAACACTGAGACGCAGCCTGGTTGAAAAGCCCATCATTTGTAGAGATCAAAATACGTTTTTTATACTGAAAGTACATTAACTAAGTATTATTTTATTGAATTGGCCTGTTATTGACATTTATCTAACTCATTTACATTTGTGTATAATATAACACAAATGTATTAAGTGCATTTATACTCATAATAATTTATTCATTCAACAGAACTTACTGAGCCTTTGAGAGAATTGAAAAGTAGTCCATGTGGCTACTTCAATCAAACATGTATGGCAGCATTATTCTTAATAGCTAAAATCCAAAATGTATATGAACTGATGAATGAAGAAACATAATCTCTTAAACCCACACCGGCAAATATTATTGAGCTATGAAAAGAAATGATCTGCTGATCCATGCTCTAATATGAGTGCGTTGAAAGCACCGTGAAAGCACGCTGCCGCCAAATTGAAGCAGACGAAGACCACAGGCCGCGTGCTGCAGGACTGCGTGGCTCTGCAGTGTCGAGAACGGGCAGCTCTAGAGACAGAGGGAGAGGAAAGGTCGCCGGGGAACGAGAAGAGGGCTGACTAGAGATTGACCCCGAAGGAGTCTGAAGTTTGGCTGGTCATGAGGAAAATATTCTAGATTTAGATAGCGAGGAGGGTTACACAGTTTAATGAATATATGAGGGAGCTTTGAAAAGGGGAAATTCCATTGTCTTTTTATTTGATTTTTCCAAGAACTTTTTGATGCCCTTCAAACTACAATTCACCAAGTTGTATGCTTTGTAGTTGCGCGTGTCCTGGCAGGTCAGTGACAGCTCCGTTTTAAAGGACTCAGGCATCAGCACTGAAGAGCTGCACCCACCATTGCGCTGCAGCCTGGATGTCGAGTGATGAATATATAAAAACGTGTGCTCTCCTGGTGGGGGGAGAGAGGACACGAATAAAATGCATATGGAAAATGGGTTATTACATAGAGATACGAGTTGGGGAACTTCTGGGAAGATAGAGATAAGAGTTAAGGAGAAATGATAAAGTATTTTAATTTTGTTATTTATAAGGACAATATCTGAAAAGTACGCACTTCTTAAACTCATGGCTTTCAAAAACTTTGCTCAAGAAAAGCAATCCCATTCTTACAAATAGCCTCTTGGTGGGTTTACTGAGTGGACTGTGAGATTCTGAAGATCAAGAGCTCTCTATTTTATTCCTTTTTTATAGCCTAAATTATTGGCATATGGAGATCCACAAATGTATGTAGGTGAGAGAAGGGGAAAAATGACCAGCTTCTGGTTTCTGTCTCAACTTAAAACATTCTTTATTGTTTAAATAGAGAATTGCCACCTTACACTGTAACCCCGATCCAAATCCACCAAGCTAGCAGACTATCTTAACAAAGCTTACAGCAATATAACTTTTTCCTGTAAGAAACTGATCAGCTGATTCCACCCCCCCCCCAGGTACCTGACGAAATGATATACCATATGCCATAGCCAGTTCTCTCAATTTTCATAGGACAATCACTTAGTATATGAGTTATCCTTCCTGCTTTCCATCATTTATCCGATTCGCTTTCTCTGACTTCCCACTAAAAATAGAGGTAGCAAGTACATCAGACTGAAAATAGTCCGTATGAAAATAATCAAGCTATTTCAAAATGTGGCAAAAGTCTAACTTAGGGATACTAGAGAGCTGAAGGATACATTCTGAAGTTTCAGTGCATCTAGGAATTGTCAGCTTAGATGCCATCTAGCCCAGGGCTCTGGAGGCTGAGAAGACAGGCACGACGATTTCTTTCAGACTCACTGCAGCACAGTCGAGTCTGATATTCAGACCGCCTCTTTGCTGAGCCGTGGACGTAGCTGTTTTTGAAGCTCCGTATGTCTAGTAGATGGATGGTCACAGTCCTGTGATTCAGCACAATGGTGCTTATGAATCAAATGCATTTTCATTGACGTGAAGGGAAATGACCAGCGCTCCATAGGTAACACTATTCCACAGATTCTTCCCACACAGGTCCCATGACTAACATGGCTTCAGCCCTTAGGGATCTTCTACCACGTGCTAGGGTTCCCTCAGCAATAGCGCCGGCAGCTGACATGAAAAACAAAACACACTTTGAAATAAAAGCTTTGATAAAGTGTCTAGTGAACGGATTCTTTCTCTATGAAATGATCTTAACAGTATATCCTTTAGAAAATGACCGTGCAATGTTTCACAGTGGGTTACAGCTCGTATTGACGATCTGTTGCAGTTTTCACATTCAAGCAATAACCCACGAGATGATATTGCCACAGAAGCTTATGAAGACGAGCTGGACATGGGCCGATCTGGATCCTACCTGAACAGCAGTATCAATTCGGCCTGGAGTGAGCACAGCTTGGATCCCGAGGACATTCGGGTAACATCAGTATTTCCTCTTTTTTTGGTTTCAGGCTGTATCGACTTACACCTGCAGACTTCCATGAGTTGGCATATATGTGTTGCTGTAAGTGTGTGTCTGTGTGTGTGCTACAGAGAAAAAGAGGGAGAGAAGAATGCTAGTGTAAGAACTGAAGGTGTCAGCTACACAATTATTCTGGTTCTGCAATGTATGTGTTTGGGGTAGATTAGAATGCACAGGCTACTTCAGCGCACAGTCACAGCCAGCTTTGATACTCTTGACAGACTCAATTCTCCTCATAATGGCTAGGTGATTATGAATGTTCCTAAGACATATTTGTAATTCTCGCTGATGGAATAGTCGGGTAGAGATGTGAGCAGAGAGCCTGGATTACTTAACATAATCTGTGATTTTAGATCAGCATTTTGAGGAAGACGATACTTTTCGCAAAAAATCTGTTGTCTCCTAAACCGAGTCTAGTGTCGGTGTAACTTCGTCAAAGGCCGCATGATGTTTGCGGTATTGTGTAGACTCTTAGCTCACCGGTAGATGGACATGGTGTGTCTCGGTATGGTCCAGCCTCAGTAGGGTCCGCATAACTTGCAGTTCAAAGTGCTTGTTCCATGAAGCAGAGGTTGAATGTATGAATTCGTGCCTTAAAAGTTCAAACTCCATGTACAACAAAACAGAAAAATAACCACAAAACCAGAATGAGGAGAAAGCTGGTGAGTATAAATGTTAGGAGACCCTGTACAGCAGTTTCCCTACAGAGTTCAAGTTTATTGGATTACAAGAACACTTCGTAATATTATCTGGCTGACTTAATCCATATCTCTCTGAATTTGCTCCTGTTCCCACAGGATGAGCTAAAGAAACTCTATGCCCAATTGGAAATATATAAAAGGAAGAAGATGATTACAAACAATCCCCACCTCCAGAAAAAGCGGTGCTCTAAGAAGGGCTTGGGTCGTTCCCTCATGAGACGTATCACAGAGATCCCGGAGACTGTCAGCAGGCAGTGTTCCAGAGAAGACAAGGACGCCGCGGACCAGGGCCCCGTCAAAAGCACTGCCCTCCTCAGGAAGAACCCCCCGGAGTCGTCATGCCATTCTGGGAAAGCCAAGGAGGAGTCCCTGAAAAACCGCGTCTTCTCACTCAAGAAATCCCACAGCACGTACGACCACGTCAGAGAACAATCAGAAGAGTCCAACAGCTTACCGACAGAAAGCCAAGAGGAGGAGGCTACAGAAACCTCCACGCTAGAGTCTCTGTCGAGTAAAAAACTCTCACGGACACTGAGAGAACACAGTGAGTCTGTGTCCACAGAGTCGGCGCCTTTGGTGTGTAAGTCCGCAAGCGCTCACAACCTCAGCTCCGAGAAGAAGCCCGGGCACCCCCGAATGTCCATGTTGCAAAAATCTCTCAGTGTCGTAGCAAGTGCCAAGGAGAAAACTCTTGGATTAGCTGGGAAAACCCAAGCATCAGGTGTGGAAGAGCGTGCTAAACTCCAGAACCCCCTGCCAAAGGGTAGGGAGACCCACAGGGCACATTCAAATTCTGCTCACACTGAGACGAAAGATTCTGTGCCCGCACACTCCAATCATCTGGAGGAGTCCCGAAAACTGCAGAAAGCTGGAATTATGAAGCAACAAAGGGTCAGCACCCCCACTGCCACTCCTGACATGAGCCCAGGCTCCACACAGGCGAAAGACCACTTTGACGTCGGAGAAGTGTGCCCCTGGGAGATGTGTGACCTGGCCCCGGCGCCTGTGCCTTCAGAACCCAAAGTTCAAAAACACGTATCTATCGCCGCTTCTGAAATGGCGAAAAACCCAACTTCTTCCCTGAAAGAAAAACCGCCACTGAAGGCCCAGGCAGCAGACACGGGTGAGCCATTGAATCCAAAGAGCACAGATCCGGCCGAGGTGAAGCCTTGGGAGGGCCCAGGCCAGGCCCTTCAGGAAGATAACAAGCCTGTGATTCCTAAGACTCCGGTTCTCCCTGTGAGACCTCAAGAAGAGAGTGCTAGTCAGCACGGTGCCACCACTGTGTGTCCTGGGCAATATGAAGACCTGCCCCCCAAAGTGGTCGCATCGAAAATCGAGCGTGGAAATCTCAACCCAATAGGAGCCCCAGGCAGAAAGACACCTTCCCCTGAGGACAACGTGGTGCCTGCCTCCTGTCACTCAAGTAACCACGCTCAGCAACCTGTTGTCGCACGAGCCGAGGTGTGTCCTTGGGAGGTGGAGAGCACAAGTCAGCCAAATGCTGGCAAAAATGTAGTTTTACCTGCCTCTTCTGCTTTAAGTGCAAATAAAGTAACAGGACCTCAGAAATAAGAGGCGTAGGAAACTTGTCAAGTGAAGCATCCCCCAGAAGGAGAAGGAGAAGGAGGAAGCCTCGAATTCGATATAAAAACTGAAGATACGAGGATCCAAAAATTCCCAAGGAGTATTTGTGTGTTAAGGGAAATGTGAGAGAGAATGAGACGAAGTCAAAGGCAGGGAAATAAAGAAAACGAGGAAGAGGAGGAGCCACAGACAATAATCCTCATGGAAAAGTCAGACTTTGGTCAAGATGGGGCATTCCCAAAGGCACAAGAAGAAAACCCTTACACGTCGGCATGTCCTCAGTGTTTGTCCTGATCGCGTTCTTACCCATGGGACTTTGAAGACCCTAAGGCAGGAAAGCCAGAAGATGGAGACGAGGCTTGGTCTTTGCAGTAGAGGAAAGAAGTAGACACGCTGTGACTGAGATGCTGAGTAGCCTACAGAAAAGGGACTCCCTTTAACTATTTAACCTTGATAGCACTACTAACCTAATGTAGCCCCCAAAACTTTTATATTGATGATTGCTCTCATTTTCTTATATAAATGTATGTGTCAGTACATTGTTGTGTCTCATATTCAAGCATTCCAAATTGTATAATTTTTGCAAATAACTTTGATATATGACACAACACATTTATGCAATCTGCAGCTACTCAATTGTTATTGCAACTTCCAATACTACCTGCTGTCAACTTCAGTTGATTCTTAAAGTATGTACGCTTTCTCTGGCTTTGGAAGCCATCGATGTTATGGTAAAATCTTTTAGTTTGGGCTGTGATTTATATATTGTGAATTTGGATTTGATTTTATTATTTCTCATCATGGTTTGTTATACTGTATTAATCAGGTATATATATATATATATATATATATATACAAGGTAAGTTCTTTGTTTTTGCACTTCTTGTTAGAACTCAAAATAAGCTTTATTAATATTGGACATCAAGTGGTCCTACTTAGTCATAATGCCTCATTAAGTTAAGGATAGCTTTTCCATAGTTTGCTAAAAGTCAGAGATAGATCACACCTTCATTCCAAATTAATTGTCCCTTCTAACTCATTCAGTGTTTTATATTTAGCAGCATTTCTTAAGGAAGAAACTAAGATTAAGAAATATCTACTGTGGATTATTATTTCCCTTAGGAAGAGAAGACTCCAGACGTGGTAAGAGAATTACAGTACTACAGAGCCAGGGAATTTGCCTTTGCTAACAAAGACAGAAAGGTAGCTACTGATAGCACTTTCAAGGGATTATTTTTGTAAAGAGAAAAATTATGATAGCATCAAGATCATTGTATGGATATATTTTTATTATGCATACTATTTTAAATTACCTTAGACTATTTATTATCATAAACCAGGGCATCTAGCTGGTTCTTCCTTGCTCAGTCACAGCAGATAGAGTGAAACCAGAATGGACCTGAATCTGTAAACTGTGGGTGAACCAGAACAATCACGGGAATAGGGGAAATTACAAGTTGAGGCCCTGCTAGAGACTTGATGTCCCTTTTAGAAACCAAGAGCAGTGTGTGCACTGCATAGCAGTCAAGTGTCTTAACTGGCAGAGTCAGAAACAAGGATGCCCTGCTTGATGGTGGCTGTGGACATACCACTTTTGATGTGTGCGGCTCTCCGCAGTTCTGGCAACATTGCTGTGTCCCGCACCAGGCTCCTGAAAAGACTATCACTGCCTTTTCTGGGTCTCCCATTCCAGGGCTTGAACTTGAAATCATTCCTGTTTCAATTGTCCTTCCCCTGCACCCAAACTTTTCAAACTCAGATCTACCTGTTCCAATTTCACTTTTTTGACCATTCCGGAAATTGGTTTGAACTGATTTGAAGCTGGAGCATAAAATATTATTCATTGCTTCAGCTAGGGCTAGAACTTGTATGGCTCAAATCCCAAAGAGATTTGTAACCTGATTTATTCAAAGCCTATAAAGTGATATGAACTTTTCATTCTCCCAAGAACGGAAAACTTTCAAATCCCCCAAATTGCACCCAAAGCATACTCTTTAAAGCTTACTGCGTTCCACTTTGATTACCTGGTATGAAAATCTTAAGCTGCTGACTTCGTCCTGCTTATGTGAGCATGCAGTGAGATCCCAGGCCAAAGCCCTGTCTCATTTTATTTCAAGATGGAGCACTTAAAAATAGAACCCAGACCTCCCTTCCTCTTGCACTACACACTGAAGTGCCAACTACGTACTTAACCAGGACATTTCTAGCCCAGACAATTCTCTCTTCGTTTTACATGAGAACATGGTTAAAGGAGAAAAGATAAGTCAAGGGAATCAGAAGGTGGGTATGGGGCTGTTCTTATGAAATATTATTCTCAGTGGAAGGTAAACACTTAGCTTTCTTTATCCTCATCAAACGTCAATCAGGAAGTTTCATTTAGGGCATGTGAGCATTTGCAGTTTTGTAAGGCTGTGCAGCCACCTTGCTTTATGCATCACTCAGGTCCTGGGGCGGGTTTGAAAGGAGCTGGGAATTACTTTTGTGTGTGTCCCCTACACCCTGCCCCCCACCTGCTTCTGCCCGTCCGTAGGAGCCCTGGTAGTGCCAGGACTAAGCATGTAGCTGCTTCTTTGGCAGGAAGAATCCACTTGCGATTCCGCTGGAGAACAGACGTGGCAATCTGCTCCCCTAAAAGCCCCACGGGGCACGTCTGCTCTGTCTTGTGGTGTCCTGACATGTGGTAAGCACATCAGCACTCTACAACTCCGCACTCCCTTCCTGGTCTGTCAAGACCTATCTCTCAGAAGATGTTCAAATGCCATTTTAAGGTTTATCAGTGAATATGCTTTGCAGTTTCTATACCCACCTAATAGCTCCCTTTATTTCTAAGGTCTATTTGCACTTGACTCACGTTTTGAGAAATAAGCTGTCAAGCATCAGTGGCTTCTTACTTGAACTTCAGGATGACCCTGCTAGAAATGTGGCTTAAAGACGACTCCCAAATCACACTTTAGTGATATTTTACTGTCCGTAGCTTATCCTTCACCAGCAGAAATCAGTGAGAACGCCTAAGGTCTTTCCTAGGGTTTCATTGCCATTACCAATCACCACGAGAAGTTCAAATCTACAGTACTCACGGTTATTTTATCCAATTCTAAATAAACAACAGAAAAAGTGACCAGCCAATATTAAGGTTACAAGCATTTGCTAGGTTGTCCTTCTCAATGCATGTGCAGGCTGCATCCTGTCGTCCTTGTTAGGCCAGGGGTTATAAATAAGTATATTTATACCAATCTTACTAGACCTGTGTATTTTATGCAAGAATTAAATGCTTTAAGACACGAACTCTAATTCAACCCATTGTAAACGTTGGTGGCAATATGGATTTGAAACTCGACAGTCCCTTGTATTTGCTTCCTAGGTTTCTGCATGCAGGTGATGGCAGGTAAGACTGAACAACACTGCCTTTGACTTCTAGCATTTAGCAACCCGAGAGTATAGAGTCAACCAAGCTGTCAGTCTCTTCACTGAATCCGTGGTTCTTCTAAAACTATTATCTGAAACCTACCGCATCCCATCATGAAATATTTGGTAAATTTATGTTGTGATGTGTTACAGCATGTAAATAATTATAAATTCTCTGCAATAAAGCATATTTATATGGAAGTGATCAGTGATGCCATGTGTGTTAAACTTATCACACTTTTCATTTATTTTATCTTACTAACTTAGAATTCCATATAGTTCTGTAGCTTTGGTAGACAGACATTCATCATACTGTCTACATCAGACATCACAAATTCTACCTGAATATATATATAGTCAATGTGATCTCAAGCATACAGGTAGTCATTTGGCGGGCAACAACCCATACTCGAATGATTGGTTTTGACTTAAGAAACCTCTTCCAAAATGAAAATTAATCCACATACCTTCTTCACCTGTTTACTCGGCACAAACATGAGACAATCTGCAAAATGGAGATGATACAGAGATGACCAAAATGAAAAAGGTCCCCAATAACACATAGACCCATAAAAGTATCCAGCCATGCCTGGAGGAATACGCAGGAGACAGGGGAGGCGGGCTGGAAGTCCAAGCTCTCCAGCATGCAATGTGGCAAGCCTATCGGGCAGGAAAGGCGAAGGGTGTGAGACGGGAAAGATCGTGCGCACGACTTCATGCGCCAGGCCACAGCTTTATCCTGCACTAACGGGATGGTTGTCGCGACTTTAAACAGGACGTCATCCAGTTATACATCACAAAAGCAGCCTAGAAATGGAGTGAGAAGGCACATGGGACAGGTAGGCCAGTGAGAAGTGTAATGCAAGAGTCAAGAGAAGTAAGAGATGATGAGGGCTTTAGAAGGGAGGACATGGTGAAGGATGACTTTGCCTTCAAGTGGGTTAGCTATTTTGTTCTCCTTAGAATGCTCAGAGCAATTAGAGAATGTACCTCTGATACAAATGTCTCTTCTAAATTTGTTGACATTTGGGCTGATCTCAGAAATTTTAAAAGCTTTTCTGAAGATCTGTAGACCTCACATCATCTCATGAGAAAGGTTGTATGAGGTTCCCGATTTGTCCGGGGGGAGACTTTGGCAATGAAAGGCTTGCTGCAGCAGAGAGAGACAGATTTCCATCGGTAAGTGGTCTCTCGCAGAAACAGCCGCCCAGAGAGCGAGCTATGGCATGAGGGAAACTTAACTTTGCACTCATCTTTCCAATAGATTGTACATAAAATTCAGGAGCCATCACCAAGTGCATCCATACATGGTGAACCCCCTCTGTTGGAGTAGAACTGGGTTTCAGTGGCTGATTTTTTAGAAGGCGACCACTAAGGTGCCTTTGGAAGCACTGCTGAGTGGACGTGAACCTTCAATCTTTGGGTTAGCAGCCCACGCCATCAACGTTGTGATTGTTGGTAGGTGCTAGTAAGCAGTTCTGACTCGTAGCGCCCCGATGGACAACAGAGCAAAACACCATGCATCCTGGCTCCTCCTCACCACTGTTGTCAGGTGTGAAGCCACTGTTGTGGCCATGCTGCGCCAGTCGATCTTGTTGAGGGTCTTCCCCTTTGCACCGGCGCTGTCCTGAGCAGGCCGTTCTTTTCCAGGGTGGTGTCTTCTTCTATCCTGTCCACCTGGCACGAGAGGAGGCTTCGCCATCCTTCCTCTGAGGCAGGTCTATTGGTCCTTTCTGACAGTCCACAGTACTTTCCGTATTCTTTGCCAGCAGCATCACTCAAAGTCGTCGACTCTTCTTCAGCCTTCCTTATTCAGTGTCCAGCTTCCATGTGTGCGTGAGATGATGGAGTATACCCTGGCTTGGGCCAGGGCTCCCTTAGTCCTTACACGGCTCACAGTGATGAGCCTTTCCCATTTCTTAAAGCTATTGTGTTTTCCATGTTCCACATACTCTTGGCATGTATGCATAGAGTCAGAGGTATATGTGTCACTTTGACCGATCCCAAAGGCTAAGAAAAAACTGTATGGGGATTAAGAAATTGGGAAAATCAAGCCTATTGTGCTTTCTGGAGAGATAAGGAAGATGCAGTCTACTGTTGTTGCTTTGCTGATGACTATTATGTTTTCCACATATATTCATAGAGCTAGTCGTTGTACCTGTGTTCTAAATTTAGAACTTTCCTGTTAAAAAAAATAACTTGGGGGAAATAATCCTGTCAGAAATAGATTATCACAGAAAAATGTAATAATGCATATCATTGTTCTAAAACAATGCGGGTAGGTAAGGTTTTCTTTGACTAATTCAGTCTATCCTTTCCCCTGACTAGTTATAAAGAATGGAAATAATGTCGTTCTAAATGTGGTTATTTTCTCCTTAGACATTTGATTCTTGGAGTGTACAAGGGCAATTTCAAACACATTTTATGTTCTAATTA